TCCAGCTCAACTCCCACGGACAGCAAGAATTGCGCCCCACAAGGGATCGTGTTCCAGCACTTCAGCTGTCAACAGTGTTCTTCCCAGCTTGCAAGTTCCTCACTTCCCTCTCCCTTTTTTTAACCCATGCTTCAGACTCCGTTTCATGTACTATCTTACTGCTTTCTGGACAAGAGGCCTTTATGTGACCGATGTACTTCCCCAGTCTGTTCTCTCACAGGCACTTTCCCACCTTCCTCTAGACTAACTTTATTGTAAAAAGCATCCCCAACAGTCCCTTTCCCTCAGTAAATCTTCTCCTCAGAATCTCTGCAGCACATGTTGCTGAGAGAGATTCCAACAAGACTTGAAAAAAAAATCTTTCCCCCATGAGCACAGTAAAGCCTTGGAACAGGGGACCAGAGAAACTGTGGGATCTCCATCCTTGAAGGTTTTCAAGACCAACCTGGATAAAACGCTGAGCAACCACATCTGAATTTAATGTGACCTTTAAGGGCCTGGAGCATCTCTCCTATGAGGAGAGGCTAAGGGACTTGGGTCTTTTTAGCCTTGAGAAGAGAAGACTTAGGGGGGATCTAATCAATGCTTACAAATACTTAAAGGGAGGGTACCAGGAGGACGGGGACGGTCTTTTTTCAGTGGTGCCCAGTGACAGAACAAGAGGAAATGGGCACAAACTTGAGTATAAGAAGTTCCACCTAAACGTGAGGAGGAACTTCTTTACTGTGAGAGTGGTAGAGCACTGGAACAAGCTGCCCAGAGAAGTGGTGGAGCCTCCTTGTTTGGAAACATTCAAAACCCGCCCGGACGCGTTCCTGTGCAACCTGCTATAGGCAGACCCACTCTGGTGGGGGGGTTGAACTAGATGATCTCCACCCTTCCAACCCCATATGATTCTATGATTCCTTTGGGTTATAAGTTTGATAAAAGATCTCCCAAGGTCCCTTGCAACCTAAATTATTCTATAATTCTTTGAAAATAGATGCATTGTTCCCACACAGAAAACACACCCTTTGAGTCACAAAGTTAAGCATTGGACAGTCAAGGAACTGACAGGTTTTGCAGTACCTCACTGAGCTTGTTGGAGCTGATGTCACCTAGCAGTAACGTGTCTGAGGTATGGGCCACCAGATATCTGTCTTTCCCTAAGATCTTCACCTCATCAATCTCATAACCATACTGGGATTTCAACACAATGCGGGTTCCTGTTGAGAGGTTCTTCACAATGACCTAGAGAAAGTGAAAAAAAGCAATATGAGGCACTGTTTCCAGGCACAGAGGAAGAACACAGACTTTGTGTCCTATGGAATATTAGATAACAGATGATATCTGGGTATTTAGATGTCCTCTCACATCATTTCACTCTTCTTTTTTAAATAAACCTTACCATTCCTCTTCTATGGGATAACAACTGTAGTAAAAGTGTGGGATTCTCACTGCTGCCATTTAGAAGTTTCCAGCCTAATTGGAGGACTACTCAGGCCTTTGAGGATGTCAACCTCTGAGAGTCCTACGCTCTCTCCACTGACTACAGAGGGGTGCCCAGACTGCTACCTCACCCCTACTTTGAAACAGGTAACGTTGGCTGAATTTAAACCACTTAAGGAGCCTGGATTTGGCACAGAGGTACCCCACACAAACAAGGAAATAAACTCCATGATTTTTGCTCCTAGCCAATTTCCACCCAGCCTTGACACTGTCCCTGGAATATTCCCTCTGCCTTTCCCGACAAGTTGCTATGAAAAAACTGCAGGTGCAGATGTATACCTAAAATGCTTTGGTAATTTGCTTTGCCAAGTTTGGTGCATATTTTTCAAGACAGTGTAACTGCTTTAAAGAGAGGAATTAATGAGGTAAAAGGACTCAGAGAAATCACCATCACTTCCAACTCTTTCCAGTGTAGTTTTAATGGGGCTGAAGGTAACTACCGTACAGAAATTACAGAGTTCCCTCAGCTGAATACAAGGAATCTGCCCCTCAGGGGTCCGTATTGTCCCTCAGGGGTCCATATGGGGACCAGTACTGTTTAATGTCTTCATCAATGACACAGACAATGGGATTGAGTGTAACCTCAGTAGGTGTGTGGATGACACCAAGCTGACTGGTGCGGTGACAGGCGTGGGGGACAGGATGCCATCCAGAGGGACTTGGACAGGCTGGAGAAGTGGGCCCATGTGAACCTCATGAGATTTCAAGATTTCACCCCATTAATCACAACTCTCTGGGCAGAGATGCCCTGGAAACATTCCAGGTCCGGTTGGATGGGGCTCTGAGCAACCTGATCTAGTTGAAGATGTCCCTGCCCACGGCAGGGTGTTGGGACTAGGTGACCTTTAAAGCCAACTAGATGACCCTTCCAACCCAAACCATTGTATGATTCTTTGATTTCGTGAGTGATTGGGCCAAGGACTGGAGGCAGATGATAGACCGGAAAGAAGCTGATGGCACCAAGAACTCCAAACATGTAAAGTTTTAGTAAGTATCCCATTGTAATCAACGGACATTACCTCGCTGGTTATTCTCTTACCTGGCTTGGTCCCACATATGTCATTTCAAATTTATTTTTGTAAATGCTTCTGCGAAGGCAGCAGTCAAATTGTTCAACTCCTCCACAGAGAGTGCCCTGGGGAAACAAACGTATTGCACATAGTCAGTGAATTTTGTTACGAAAAGGTATTCCAGACCCTATTTTCATGAAAAGGATCAGAGGTGAGACAGAAATCCCCAGGTCCTGGCTGCTCTGGGGAACAAGGCTCAAGGCCCAGATGCATGAGGACCAGTCCTATCTTGACTTTCGTGAGAGAACAGAAAGATTGAGAAATTCTCAGAGAAAAAGAGCTTACCAAATACTGCCACATACACAGCAGAGGAAGAGGAGGGGTTAATTCAGAAAGATTTGCAGAAAGACTGATTTAAAGAGCTTTAAGGAATTACTTAACTTGATAGAGAAAGGCAGATCAAGGCCCAACAGCCAAAAGCAGAAGAAAGACACCTCTGAACTGAAAACATAGCATGTAAACATAGGGTAGAAGATCAGGTCTCGTACTGCTTCTCACAGGTGCTTGGAGGAAAGAATGCTTGTGAGACTGATCTAGAGAAGCTATGCTATGCTATGCTGACCTTACTACACTTCTGTGAAAAAAGGAGGGCTGCTGCTGCCAGTGAGCCATTACACATCAGCCATGATAATTCCAGCTTCATACTCTGCACAACTGACTGCAGCAGAGTCCCTTGCAAAGGTCTCAGCCCAAGCACCTCCATCACACACCTCGGTGACAGTGTGACCACTCTCACTCTCCCTGTGTCACGTCACTTTGTTCTCAGGAGCACGCGTAAGACTGTCCCCGGTGTGTGACCCGTGGGCTCACAGCTGCTGACTGATGATACAAACCACACAAATCCGTGATCCATCCCTCTTCCATGCTAAAGCTGTGATGGTGTAGAGGTGAGCTATTTCTTTGGGTTTGCCTTCCTCCCAGGCGCTGCGGCGTGGGCTCCAGTTCAAAACCCTTAACCTGTGAGAACGGATGAGACAGCAGAAACATGAAGAATTGCATATGGTTGAAGAAGAAAGCGCTACAAAGGGGAGACTTTACCATCAGGCACCATACCTATCATAGCTGCCAATGACCACAGACTGGCCGCCAGGACTGGCAGCTGCTGTGGTGAATTCCTTCTCTGATGAGTCCCGGCTGTAGTCAAAGGTTTGAACCACATTTCCTTCCTTCCCATAAGCTACAATCTTCTTATCGCAGCCTGCAGCCACAATGCTGTTGGAAGCCCAGGCGAGGGCATAAGGAGGACAGGGATGCACCACCAACTTACCCTAAATTAGACAAGAAAGAACATCTGAAAACATGAATGGGTACAGCCATTCCGGTTCCAGCTGGCCTCTGTATTCACTTGTCACAACAAGACCAGTCTGAGGCCCTTCTGTAAAGTCCAGCTCATGGGAGGTGCTTTGTCTGCCTGCCCCTCTGTAGGAAGGTAGAAACCAGAACTGAGAGATGTTTCAACTATTCCACATGTTTAACTGGGAGAGAAGATTCCTGGTGCCGGGAAGAAGACCAGTACCATTAACTAGACTGGGATACCCCCATAATGTACCAGAGTATACATAGGCTTTCAGCATATCATGCTAGAGAGCAAACATGCTCAAACTGCTTCAGCTGGAGAGAAAATATCTGAGTAACAATAGCATTCCCTTCACCATAGCCTGAAGCACAGAGACTTCTCCTTTTGGGGAGGAGCAGGGGTCAGGAGAAATGCTGGGTGCCAAGTATTCTGTCCCCAGGCAGTGTGAACCTGGCATTCGGGTTTAACTGAGGTAACTATACATTGTTTACTGAGAAGATGACAATAGCTATTCCCTGGAACCCTACCTATTCAAGCCTTTTTTTCCTGGAGACTCTAACATCGGATCTTTCCAGACACCTGAATAGCCTCATGTCTCATACACAAAAATGTAACTTCTGCTCTCACCACTGCACTCAGTGTATTTCAAAGCAACTAGTCACTGGTCTGCCTTCATCAGTGCTCCGTAAAAACTACGCTAGCAAGCACAGACCACAGCTCCTCTCCAGACTTGCTCTCCCTCCATGGCCTAATCCCTTACCAGAGCTCTTGAGCCAAAGAGCTCCTTGGCTGTGCAAACAGGAATTTGCTAATTGAAGAAGAATCTCTGATACCTGTGATTCACCTGAGCCCTCATCGTCAAAGAAGAAGCGTACTATGGTTCCATCTGCATGGCCAGACAGGATTCCCTTCCCCGACACACTGCAAAGAAACACAGACAGGATGATGCATTACTGCAGTAAGACTTGCACCTTTATTTTCATACCCTTGCCCAGAGGAGCCAGTCCCAGGGTCATTGTTGATGTTCCTCATCACCAAAGACAAGGTGGGTGATAAACACAAGAATACCTAAAACCTGTATTGGTGACTGTAAAAACAAAGCAGACAAAAGTACGGCAAGCATAAAGGAGAGCGGCCAGATAAGCATCTTCATCATGTAAAATCACAATAACTAACTTTCTGTACCACTAAAACACAGGAAGGCTAAGTAACCTTAAGTGGAATAATGACTACGCACATAATTTTACGTAACAAGGTATATCAAACAACCCTTGGATTGGAACTATTCCAAAAATGAGGCTGAATATGGTGATGCCAGGAATCCCTAAAAGCAACACAGTTAAGACAAAAAACCATCTGGACAAACACTCCAGTCCATCATTTGTAGCATTCATGTCTTGTGTAAATCTTGACACAAGCAAGGAGAAGAGGGCAAGGAAGAGGAAACAGGCATAACCTAGTGCACCCAGAAAGAACACTTTTTAATGATGATTCAAGTACAGAATATAAATTCTGTTTAACACTGGAACAATCCAGGAATCATACATCTGTCTTCTGTGATTGCAACCCCAGGTCTGTCATTGACACCATGGCAGTAACAGCATGAGCTGTGTTTACAAATAAAAGAAGAGGGGGAGAGAGTCAGGGGAAGGATTTGGGGACAGGGGGGCAGATGGGGAAGAGAGGTCGGAGAAGAAGAGGGGATGAAGAGAGAGGTGGGGGGAACAGAAACCCTCTGGAATAGAGGCAAAGGCAGACAGTCTTTGGAGGGATTTTTCAGCAGTAGAAAGTCAGAGTCCTAGGCTAGCTTTAGGTTTCTTAATTTTTTTTAGCACTCAAAAACCAGAATGTCAACATTTAGTGAAAATCCCATTGCTAGGATCATGACATAACTTAATTTTTTTTAGGTAAAGGATAAAGAAGTATTTAAAATTAAATCTTAATTAAAAATTGCATTTTATGGTTATTTTTCTCATCATAGCCTTGTGTTTTATCTGACAGAAAATTTTTACTTTTACTAGCCCTTGAACTTGACTAATGTCAGTAATTAGCGAGATTAAGTTGACAAATTTAATCTTTATAAAGTCCTGGATTCAAATAAATCAATACATGCGAGTAATGTCATGGGAACTTGCATCCTGAAATGTATTTGAGGAACAATCAAACCGCATGGGCCAGTGTGGTATATCCAGGTATCAGATTTTAGGATGGAATTCCTTCTGGAAAGCACAGTACTTTATTATCTCGACAAGGAACTGACAGCAGAAAGAGACACTCTGGCGACCTCCCATACTGACACCAGTTGTGCCAGGGCCAACAGCGGGACAGGAGACTGAGCCAATGCAGGAAGGCTAACGCAATGCCATACTCACTTGGACGTTAGCGAGACCACATAGGAATCTGTCCCGTAAATGGTGGAAGACTTGTTGTTCTTTGTATTTGCTAAACGAACCTGAGAAAGAGAATCTGATCAATGTTGATTCTGTCTGCAGAATGTGGACTTCCCCCAGCGTAACATCCCCAGAGGCTTCCTGGTCCATGAAATAACAGGAAGCTCATAGCTTTTTGGTAGGTTGGAGAAGTCGAAAAGTTGGAGGCTTAAGAAAAGGACCAAATGATCCAGGAGAAACCCCAAGCACTAGAACCTGGTTACCTCCAAGGGAATCAGAACCAGAAAATTCAAATCAGTGGTGTAAACCCTGAGTTGCTATTTGGTGCCCAGTGGCACACGGTAGCCCAGATGCTGGTAGCCCCTGCATGGAGAAGAAAATGAGGCAAATAACAAGTTTCTCTACCTTTCCTTCAGCAAGACCAAAGACAATGACGTTCTCCACTGGCCACAATAAGCAGGTCACGGCACTCTGCCAAGGAGGAGGTAAAAAAAAGAGATAAGAACTCCACTACCTAGAAAGCTTCCTGCCCCACTGCTATGTAACACAGCTCATGAACACTGAGACCACTCAGACCAGGAAAGAGAAGAGATGGCAGCATTTGGACAGGCCTTAAAGTAGGATTGAGGACCTCCATGCTGAAGCTTGAACTAGATAATACTGAGCTGGGGTAAAGCAGCAAGCTCAGAAGGGCTAAAGCAGGGCATCAAAGTTACACCAGATGTGTTATACTACCACGGATGCTCTTCTGAGAGGACTACTGATTGATCAGATGTGTGGGGTTTTCCCCATGCTATTGTTGAATGTACAAACTCATGGCTATTTGAAGATTTTTTTGCATCAACAAGTATAAAACGTAAAAATAATATGACTCTGCCAGGTTCTGTAATAGATATGAAAATATCTGTACATTGGATCTTCATTTGATGAATCAGAAATAGTCCTTATTTATATTTTTTGTTTACAAGCAAGACGGTTACCACATGCTACAAAGTAGGTCAGGTAGAAATGGGTTGGTTCGTTAAACCCAAACCTAAGGTATTCTCAAAATCTGAGGTGGGGATCAGGAAGAATAAAGCTGAGCACAAAACCCAACTGTAAAAGCGGGTCAAGAGAACTAATGAAACCGCTCCACGTTTAAACTGAAGAATTTCAGTCAATAAGGCGGCTGGTGTTTGGCACTGTGCCACCAGCACTTGCCTCACTGGCTCATCTGTTCCATTTTAAGCATCTGGGCCTGCTTTAGACATATTTACACCCTCATTTATTTATCTCACCTTCACATCAGCAAATACAGCTACAATCAGATACCAAAATGTCACTGGATACCTAAACTGTTCATAATTTGTATGTCTAAATAATGATGAAGACCCATTTTTATTGCACCTGTTTCCCAGACATCCATACCTTTCCCTCATTATCTGCCAGACCTTTATTTTCAGCCTAACCACAACCACAAGCAGCCCGGCAGTAGCTTAGAAACAAGCCTCACAAAGTGGTAATGTGCTCAGCTACTGGTGTAAAGAAGTCATACTTGCACATACTCATCCTGACCCTTCAGCAGGATGCCTTGCCTGCCAGCCAAGCAGAACAGTATCACTGTATTCACAAGATGTGTAAGAGTGCCCAATACATTTTGCCAATGGCTGGAGAGGGAAAGGCCTTAATAACAAATCTCTCCTGTTTACTGAACACACAAAAAAATTGTAAATAACAATATTTAGTTATAGGAGAAAACCAGACACAGTGGTAAAAACCCACACATATAGCATTAGAAAAAATACAGGATTTATTATGACAGAAGTGGCAGAAAAGGCATGGGGAAGAGAGTGAGAGAAAAGAGAAATGAACCACTACATTAAAAATTAAAAAAAAACGTATGCATGCTGTGCACACCTAAGCTTGTGAGAGGCAAGCAGCTCCCACCGGGCTGTTACCCAGGTGCTACAGCAAAGGGGAGGCAGAGGGGCAAGGAGCTCATCCTGCCAGCGGACAGCAGCAAAGAAGGAAAGGACTCTCCAGTGAGGCTACAGGTATCCACACCTGGGTTAACCACAATGTCCGGGAAAGGGACAAAGGGACACCAAGCCCCTCGTGCTCTCTTTCCCTCATGACAGTCTACCCAGTGTCACAACCACTCAGCGCAGCAGCTCCAACACAGAGAAACAAAAGCTGAACAACAGCTGCCTTCACTTATTGCCAGGGCAACAGAACTACCTGGGTTCCCCTCCTGCAGCCAGAAGCCCATGTGGAGAGAGGCTTGACAGCCCTCCTAAGCCACTGTCAGAGCAGCTGCAGTGGTGGGCCATGACCCAGCCCTGATGTAGGCTTTCAACCCAGAGGGTCAGGCTGTCCTTCACCTGAAAAGCAGCCTGAGAACGCCTGGCACAGAAACTCCAGCAACCACATCAGAAGCAGTGCTGCCTATGTCTTCTGGGGATTTGGCTCAAGGGGATGACTCCTCCTGACTGGTACTAGCTCCTTCAGGGGAGGAAAACATAGCAGAGAACTCCTCTAGTGACACAGAGAAAGCGGGGGTCATAGCGTGATGGCAACTGGCTGGAAAGCCTCGGGCAGCTGCTGGACATTGACTTCTGAAGGTAAAACAACTAGTCAGTGCATTCCGTTGCCTCATACAGGTGGTTTTCTGTGCAAGGAATTTATAACACCTTCGCCTTTTCCAGATACTGACATCAATCTTGGGACAATCCTTGCCAGAGACCTCCTGAGTAGAGAGCTCTCTGACCACACAGGCAGAGCCAAAGCAGCAGAGCACAAAGGTGGCCAAGGAAATAACCCGACTTACAAACCTGAGGTCTTTGAACATGGGGAAACTGTGCAGCTGGACTGCATTCTGCACACTTTACATTTTGGTTAATAAGGAATCTCGGGGCTTAGAGTTGCCAACCTGTGAAAAACAGTTGGGCTCAGAGTCTCTCCTTTCCAGTTTTTCCGTTTCAACTCCCTTAAAACATTCTGTCCTCTGATGCCTAAAGTAGTCCCCAAAGTTTTGTAAGTGACTGCATTTTTCATTCAGCAATTAATTACCATGATGTATCCAGGCCAGTATGAGGCCTCTGAAGCTTGGCGAATAATATAAGCCTCAAAATTTAGAGATTATCTTAGGATCTACCTGCACTTTTGGAGACCAAGTACCACTGACAGTTTGACCAAGTATACCTCTGAGTATGAGCAGCGAGACATTTAATTGTCTTTATCCTACATACACTGGAGAAAATGGTGTTAAACAGGAGTCTCACCGTTTGGATGAACTTGTTGCATATCACCTTCTTGTCACCCCTGCAGAAAAAGGTAGACAAAAGTTACCACCAGTGAAGCTAGCAACACTGCCCATTCTGGTTACCCTGCTGTTTGCATTCAGTCTGTTTCAGTATTGCCAAACGCAGGCTGTTTAAGTTTTGTACAAAGGTTGTCTATCACAAGGCAACTTTTGGTAGAAAATTTAAGAAAAAAACTTCAGATCTTCTGAAATGCTGATGATCTGCCTTTCTGAGCAGCTGTAGCACACCACACACCAGCAAATGAGGCTGAAGTGAGGCTGGTTTCACAATTCCCCAGCTATCAGAGGACAGCAGCACAGGCTTTAGAGCTCCAGCTTCACAGAAGCTCAGCTGGTGCATGGTCAGACAAGATTTGAGGAAATCCTATCTGCTGCTCACTAGGGAAACACCTAGGTGTTGTGGAAAAGACCACGATAAAGAGAGGGCTGGGACACCGGGGCATCCCCAGGCCCGGAGCTGGAGAAAGTGGAGAGTCTGAGTGTGAAAGAGCGAGTCTGCAGAGGAGAAGGCAGAAGGAGGTGAAAAAGGGAGAGTCCTGGGAGTCCCTGGCACTGCAGGGTTAGATGGTTAGATGACAACACAGCGTGCACCGGGTGGAGGAGCAGGCCAGGCCACTGGTGCAGGCAGCATCCATGCCTGCAAAGCATGCTGTACGGCAGGAAGGAGCATGCTGTCCCCTCCTCACAGCCACTGGGCCCTCTACCACCAGACTCACCACTCCTCTCCAATCTTGTAGACGTAGACAATGTTGTCTGTTTGGCCAATGGCGATTTTGGTGGAGTCCGGGGAGAAGGCCATGCCTTTGACCACGTAGCTTTTCCGGCCGTACTGTGGAGAGGACGGAGGTGTGGGCCGCAGGGGAAGGCTGCCCTGACCCAGGCCCCGGCCCACAGGCCGCAGCCCTGATCGCGGAGCAGCCCCGGCGGCAGCAGCCCGGGCCCCGGGCCCTCACCTTGGCGTCGGCGGGCTTGGTGGAGAACTTGTCGCGCCGCTCGCCCTGCTCGTCGTACAGCAGCACCACCCGGTCGGCGGTGCAGACGGCGAACCGGGCGCTGCTGGCCGACCAGGCCATGCAGGTCACCCGCGCCGTCCCGTCCTGCGGGGCATACGCAGCCTCAGCACCACCGCCGCCCCCGCCCCGCCCCGGCCCGCTCCCCCCGGCCCGACCCACCGCACCTGCGGGGACAGCAGCGTCCGCACGTGCCGCAGCCGCATCGCGCCGAGCGCCGGGACGGGAGAAGGACCGGGACGGACGGCACCACCGCCGCCGCCGGGCCCACCTCGCCTGGCCCCGCCCCGCG